ACACACATCCTGCATTCCTGGAGCAGTTGGGGGTGGCAAGAGGCAGCTGGGGCACTGAGCTGAGCCCTTGGGGTGGGCCTGGGTGCAGAGGTCAAGGCCTCTTCCTGTCTGCTGCCCAGGACAGGAATGCAGTTTCCTTTCTCAGCCTGACCCTGAGGACCCCACAGGCAGGAAGTCTCCAGGTCTGGCTGGAGTCAGGGAGTCTTGGGTCTGAGCCCTGATGCTGTGTGTTCTTGAGCCGGTGAACTGCCTCTCTGAGCCTCTCTTCTCACTGCGGAAAGAGGGGCTGAGAACCGCCGCTCCTCGCGGGATTAGAGGAAGGGATGCGGGCGAGGTTTTGAGGCCTCAGCCCAAGGTCAGTGTCTTAGCTGGCTCTGGTGGCCTGGGCGGCCTGGACAGTAGGAATTCATTTTCTCCCACTGCTGGAGGCTGGACGTCCCAGATCAAGGTGTCAAGGAGTCGGCAGGTTTGTTTTCTTCCGAGGCCCTTGCCTTGGTTGCAGAGGGCTGCCGTATCACGTGTCTTCACTGGTCCTCCTGTGTGCGAGCCTTTTCTGAGTCAAAATTTCCCGTTTTTGTAAGGACACCAGTCAGACTGGGTTAGGGCCCAGGCTGATGCCTCATTTTCCCTTCATTACCTCTCTACGTCCCTGTCTCCCAATACCGTCACGTTCTGAAGTGCTGGGAGCTAGGGCTTCAACATATACATTTGTGGGGACACACACACATCAGCCCCTAGCAGCCAGGCTCATGGGAATGGCTCAGGAGGAGTGGCCCTCACTTTTGTAAACTCGGAGCTCAGCATGCAGATCAGACGAGAGACGAGAGACGTCCTGGGGGTCTGGTTGGCCAGATCCAGGCCCGGAACGTTGGCAGCCTCCTGCCCGCGGCCCCAGCCCTCGGCCTCACCTTCCTCCTGCCTGCAGGGTGCTTCCTCCTGGCACGCCGAGGGTTGCCTGTGGAATATAAATGCCCTGGCGTGGGAGAGGCTGCATATAATGCAGAACCCGCACCTTTAGGCAAAACCTGGTCTCTGGGAGACCTTGCTCCCCCAAGAGCGTGAGGGGGTTGCTCTCCTGGCCCAGGTGGGCAGCACCCACCCCGGGGCTCTGCCTGATGCTCGGGCCGGAACACACCTGCTCTGCCCCAGTCACTGCTTCCCATGTCAGGTCCCTAAAGCACTGGGTGAGGCTGGCCCCGCCCCCCTGCCAGTCCAGGGAGCTGCCCCTGCAAGGCTGAGGGCTGGGCCTCAGTTTCCCCACCGCTGAGCTCGCTCCCTCCCAGCTCCGACAGGCAGTGATTCCTGCGGTCAGCCGCATGTGTGGGGGAGGAGCCCTCCGCACGCCAGAGAGGGGCTTTTCCTCTGTGGGGTGACTCAGCCTGTAGTCATCGCAGCGGGAGGTGGGCACGAGCTGTGCTTCCCTCCCCTCGGTTCCAGGACGCCGCGGTCGGAGGCACGTGGCCAGGGCGGCCGCCCGCTGCCTGGCTCCGCGCTGATTAACCACGCTCTTCCCCAAGTCAGATTTTGCAACTTCCTGCAGCTGATGTCCCGGCACCCAGTCTGCAGGTTCGCCGCCAGCACGGGGGAGGTGCACACACTCACCCGGGCCACCACCACCCACACAAATAGAGAAATGGTATTGGTGGTATTTTCTAGTCAGCCCTGGACTCAGTGGCAGACCCGGCCTGCCCGTGGCAGAGGAGCAGGTCCTCGCCGCAGTTACGAGTCAGGTGCCACGCACCCCGAGCTGGGCTTGCGCTGTGGCCCCGCGAGCCTCCCGGTAGATGTGTGAGGCCAGGCTGGGTCATGGTTCCCAGTGTTCAGAAGGGGAAACTGAGGCCCCCCCAGGATTCAGTGACCTGGAACCAGGCGTGGCAGTCCAGGTCCCACGGGCACGTTGTGAATCACATTCATTCACCGATGGTCGGTGGCTGCTTCCGTGCGTGCGCGTGGCAGAGAGCATCTGCCTGCAAAGCTGAGAACACTTACTGTCGGGCCCTGGCAGGGAGCGTGCAGGCCCCTGGTGTAAGGACCAGGGGAAGGGCAGGGGCAGGATGGGAACCGGGATCTTGGGGTGGCCTCTCCTGGGAGGATCAGGTGGCACCTAGTCCTGGCTCTGCCATCTCTGCCCTTGGCCGTTGGCAGGGGCCTGACAACTGAGAAGTAGGGTCAGTGACAGTGCCCATGTCTTGGTGTGGGTGGGAGGCCTTAAGGAGATAAGGAGGGTATGAAGGAGGGCTGCCTGCTGCTGTCGGGGGTGGGTGATTATCCCTGTCGCTGCCACTGCAACTGCTCCTGCTCAGTTAGGACAGAGGCGGTGGGGGTTGCAGGTGGTGTGTGTGTGTGTGTATGTGTGTGCACTCCTGTGTGTATAGGGTGTGTGTGTGGGGGGGTGTGTGTATGTGTGTGCACTCCTGTGTGTGTGTGTATGTAGGGCATGTATGTGTGTGCACTCCTGTGTGTGTGTGTGTATGTGGGGGGCGGGTGCTGGCTGTCAGTCAGTTGGTCTTGGTGGAGGCCGTTGGGCCAACCTCCTGTCTCCTTCCCTCTCCGGGCAGGGATCCCTGAAGACTCCAAGGTGGAGGGCCCGGCGTTCACGGACGCCATCCGCATGTACCGCCAGTCGAAGGAGCTGTACGGCACCTGGGAGATGCTGTGTGGGAATGAGGTGCAGGTGAGCTGGGGGGGAGATGCCGAAGTTACCCAGGGCCTAGAGCTGGGTGGGCACAGAGATGGGGCTCTGGGCGCTGCAGGCTTGGACAGAGACAACAACTCAGGTTTGGATCGGCGGAGGCCCAAGGTAGCCAGGCAGATGGAGAGACTCACTATTTTGTTCAGTCATTTCCGGCACCTGCCCTGGCCCAGGTGCCCAGATGCCACTGTGAACAAGAGGGACACAGCCCCGGACCTCATGGAGCTCTCTGTCTAGCGGGAGAACCAGACTAATAAACACACACACTTCCATGTGCTGCCACAGGGGGCGGGGGGTAGTCCTGACGGGAAGGCGGCATGTGCTAAGGCCCTGAGGGTGTGGCCCTGGAGCCTGAGGACCCTGCAGGACACCCCGCAGAGAAGCTGAGGCCTGGGGGAAGGATACTCAGGAGAGAGGGCCCTGGAGACCTGGAGCAAAGGGCCACATGGCAAGGAGGTCGGGCCTGAGGGCCAGGCTTGATGGCACCTGGAGAGGAGCAGCCTGGCCATGTTCCAGCCCCTGACCTGCACGGCTGTGCTCCGGTCCTAGATCCTGAGCAACCTGGTGATGGAGGAACTGGGCCCTGAGCTGAAGGCGGAGCTCGCCCCGCGGCTGAAGGGGAAACCACAGGAGCGACAGCGGCAGTGGATCCAGGTGGGTGGTGGGTGGTGGGTGGCAGGGCTGGGGGCGGGGCTGGGGGCCAGCAGCTGCCCAGCACCCTCAGCCCAGTGCTGACGCCGCCTCTGTGCCCCCAGATCTCAGACGCCGTGTACCGTCTGGTGTACGAGCAGGCCAAAGCGCACTTTGAGGCGGTGCTGTCCAAGCTGCTGCTGGCCCGGCCGGCCATGGAGGCCGTCATCCGCACCGACATGGACCAGATCATCACCTCCAAGGAGCACCTGGCCAGCAAGATCCGAGGTGGGCAGGCCTCCCGGGGGGCTGTCTTCCTCGGGCCGACCTGCTGGGACCACCGGCCCCAGGAGCCAGGCGGCCCTCCCGTCTGTTTCATGGGTCCATCTGCATTTCACAGCAACGACTCAATTCATTGATTGCTTTAAAAAAAATGGAAATCAAATCTGAGCCGTTGCTTTTCCAAGCTATTTCTAGACACCCAGACCCTGAAGGTCTAAATGTTGTCAAGGAGGCTGAGCCCTCGGCTCATCTTCGGGCGATCACAGCTTCTCACACGTGTCGTTTTCACAGACATCGGCTTAGCACGGTGATGATTCCCTTTCACCAAGTCCAACTTCTCTGTCAGTTCTTCCCTGTTCCGCCCGATGGGATCCTTTCACTCCCTGTCACCATAACACCACGGCCAGAGTCCTCAGCTGCCCGAGACTCCTTCTGTACTGGCTGCGTTCACTGGGAGTGGGCGGGCCACCGAGAGCCGCCGTTCATTCTGTGGAACAGACACTAGCTGGGCAGAGGGGAGGGAGGGCCGTCAGAACCCCCAGGGTGAACGCGCCTGGGCCGGAGTGTCCTGGAGATGGTCCCTGCCACAGCGTCACAGCCGGCCACACGGGCACGCTGAGGCCGGCCACACCATTCCAGACAGGGTCGGGCTCAGCCTTTGCAAAACCCAGAGGCTCACTGAATCCACTGAAGTATTTTTCTTTTTAAAAAACAAAACAAAAAAACACAAATGAGCAAGACCCGAAGGTGTTCTCTCCCCGCTCTAGCTAAAGAAAAGCTGCCGGCACCTCCAGGCCGCAGTCCTCTCTGTTTCTTGCATCACCACTTAGAAATACGTCCCCGTCAAGTTGGCTCCATCCATGTGTCTTTACTGTCTTAGAGTCATTGTTTGCTGCTGCTGTCACCTCTGGTTTTCTTTAAAAAACACACAAACAAACCCAACAGCCTGCTCCTAGCCTCGGGGTCCGGGAGGGCTGGGAGCTGCTCCCCGGGGCCTCAGCTAACCAGCTCCCTCTGGGCGCAGCCTTCATCCTCCCCAAGGCGGAGATCTGTGTGCGGAACCACGTGCAGCCCTACATCTCCTCCATCCTGGAGGCCCTCATGGTGCCCACCAGCCAGGGCTTCACCGAGGTGCGGGACGTCTTCTTCAAGGAGGTCACCGACATGAACCTGAACGTCATCAACGAGGGCGGGGTTGACAAGCTGGGCGAGGTGAGGCCTTTGCTGGGACCCGGGTGGGCCGCTCCCCTCCCGCGTCACCTATGAACAGGGTCTGAGGGCTGAGTACACTAGGCTGAAGCTGTTGGGGGCTAGCATTAGAGAAAAGGGGGGACCCTAATCCCCTGCCACCAGCCTTTCTAAGCCAAATGGGTTGTAAAATAGCAAAGAACAGAGAAGTGAGGGAGGGAAGGAGGAAAAGAAGGAAGGGGAGGAGCGGAGAGGAGAGGAGGAAGGAAAGGCAAGCTGTAGAGACAAGGCATGTGACCGTCAAGGTAGACGTAAGTACGTGTGAGCCATTCATGTGCCCCACAAGCAGAGACGGCCCGGCTCTCCCTGTTCCTCAGTTATCTGGTTCTTGGGGTGAACGCCCTTCCACAGACCCCATTTGAGTACTCGGCTGCCTGGAGCCCCACATGGCTGTCAGGTGAAGGGAGAACTGATCCTATCTTAGCCTCCTCTCTATACCTTAAATTGGAGAGTCGACAGACAACATAACCATGGAATTTGAGAACCAGAAAGGAACTTAGAGGTCAGGAGAAACCTGATTTTGAGGCTGAGGAACCTGAGGCTTAGAGAGGGTGAGTGCCCTGGCCCAGGTCACCCAGCGCCCAGAAGGGAACAGGACCCAGCTCCCAGCTCCCAGCTCCCAGCTCCCAGGTTGTGCTGCTGGACCACGTTCCTCCAGCTTCAGATCCCCGGCTCCGAGAGCCCAGGCAAGGTGTGGGTCTGGGGGGTGCCTACCATGCAGGTGGACCCAGCTCAGGTCCCGCCTCCCTGCCTCCCTGCAGTACATGGAGAAGCTGTCCCAGCTGGCGTATCACCCCCTCAAGATGCAGAGCTGCTACGAGAAGATGGAGCCGCTGCGGCTTGACGGGCTGCAGCAGCGTTTTGACGTGTCCAGCACATCCGTGTTCAAGCAGCGAGCCCAGATCCACATGCGTGAGGTGGGCCAGAGGCTGCTCCCCGCACACCCCTCAGCCCTCTCCCTCCCACAGCCCCTATCTCCTGGGAGAGTCCCCCACCCTCCTCTTGTGCGCCCTGCAGCCATGCCCAGCCCCGCGTGCTCCCCTGCTCTGGTCCATGTGTTTGGAACACCTGTCCCTCTGTTCACCTGGCTAATTCGAACTCATCTTTCAGGTCTCAGCTTAGAAACCCCTCCCTCCATGAAGCCCTCCTTACTCCCCAAGCCCCTTCCTGCAGGGCCCAGGACCTCTGTTTCCTATTTCCTTGAGGCAGGGACTGCCCGTGCCCAGCCCTGTGCCAGCACACGGTAGACACTCAGTGACGCTGTGAGGGCGGGAGTGCAGTGAGCGAGCACACACGCCACCCGCTTCTCCCGGCTGGCTGGGGTCAGCTGGCTGAGGGGCCCCTCGGAGGCACGCAGCAGGGGCTGCGGTCACTCGGGGCCTTCATGTGCCCCCTGGTGTGTCCCACAGCAAATGGACAACGCCGTGTACACCTTCGAGACCCTCCTGCACCAGGAGCTGGGGAAGGTGCCCACCAAGGAGGACCTGTGCAAGTCCATCCAGCGGATCCTGGAGCGGGTGCTGAAGGTGAGCGGCTCTGCCCCGGCCCTGGACCTGTCCTAAGTGTGGCCGAGCCCTGCGTCCAGTCCCTATGGGAGGCGCCGCCCACCCTCTTGTACAAATGAGGACGCTGAGGCTGAGGCCAGACCACCGGCCTTCCATCCTCCTGCCAGGGCCGGGGGCCCACTGGCTCAGAGCCCCCATCTCCTCTCTCCCTGCAGAAATACGACTATGACAGCAGCTCTGTGCGGAAGCGCTTCTTCCGGGAGGCGCTGCTGCAGATCACGATCCCCTTCCTGCTCAAGAAGCTGGCCCCCACCTGCAAGTCGGTGAGCAGCCCGGCCCCCCCTCAGCCCCTCGCCACAGCCCCCTCCTGGTCCTGGGAGCCGGAGCCAGCCCGACCAGCGCCCGGGATGGGTGGAATCGCGGACCCTCTGCCTCCAGGCCCTGACGGCCCCCCTCTGCCCCTTGCCCGCCTCACCTTGCAGGAGCTGCCCCGGTTCCAGGAGCTGATCTTCGAGGACTTTGCCAGGTTTATCCTGGTGGAGAACACGTACGAGGAGGTGGTGCTGCAGACGGTCATGAAGGACATCCTGCAGGGTGCGTGCCAGCCCCCAGGGGGCCGCTGAGAGCTGGGGGGGGGGGGGGGGGTCGTCCCCACCTCCGCTGTGTTGGGATTCTTATTGCCAGAAGGGAGATGGAGGAGGCCGCCCAGAGGCCTTTCTCGTGGGGTCAGCGAAGCTGCAGACAATCATGGGGTGTATGCTGTGGGCCGGTAGGCCCACTGTTAGCTGTGCAGCCACAGGAGGGGAGCGTCCAGTCTCCGTGCCTTCGTTTCGTGGCGTGTCAGATGAGTGACAGGGTGGCACGGTGGTTGCCAGCTTGGGCTTTGGGTTAGGGTCATGGCTCCTCCGTCCTATCTGTGAGGCCTGGAATAAGTCACGTCCCAGTGACAGCACCCGCAGGCCGTGGGGAGGGCTCTGGGGGTGATGCCGGTCGCATCTGGGCACCGTGGAGGGTGTGGTGGCTGTGGTCCCCGTGGCGCATGTGCTGACGCCGCCCGCTTGGCCCTGCAGCCGTGAAGGAGGCCGCCGTGCAGAGGAAGCACAACCTGTACCGGGACAGCGTGGTCCTGCACAACAGCGACCCCAACCTGCACCTGCTGGCCGAGGGCTCGCCCATCAACTGGGGTGAGGAGTACGGTGGCAGTGACGGCGGCAGTGGCGGCAGTGGCAGCCCCAGCCGCGGTGTCCAGGAAGCAGCCACTATCTCGGAAAAGCGACGGCGTGCCAAGCAGGTGGTGTCCGTGGTCCAGGACGAGGAGGCAGGGCTGCCCTTCGAGGTCGGCCGTGAGCCACCATCACCTGCGTCCCCGGACAGTGTCACTGAGGTCCGTGACCTGCTGGCCCAGGATCTGAGGGCGGAGAGCCCCCCGCCAGCCTGCCCCCTGCTCAATGGGGCCCCCGTGCCCGAGATCCCTGTGCCCTCCTCGCCTTCGCCCTCCTCACCACCTGCAGCCTCACCACGGGCCTCACCCCTCCAGCAACTCCCACCTGGAAAGGCTGTGGACCTTGAGCCTCCAAAGCCCAATGACCAGGAGACCGGGGAGCAGGAGTCCAGCCCTGGCGGCCGGCCCCCCATCCACACCACCACCGAGGACAGCGCAGGGGTGCAGACTGAGTTCTAGGCTGGTCGCCCCCAAGCTTCTGTTGGACGCGGCACACGGGCCCCTCCCTCTGAGGCACTGACAAGCTTGGCTCCTGGGATTTGGATTTGTGCCTCCGGGTGGGGTGGGGCAGGGCTGGTGAGGCTCCTCGGGCTGAGCAGGGACAGGCCCACCTGAAGTCACTTTATTGGGTTTGTCACACTTTGTTGCTGTTTTCTCTTCTGTGGGGTGATCTCGCCTTTCCTGCTTGGCTAGGGGTTGAGCAAAGCTGAGGGGCCTGGGGAGCGCCGGGTGGCCCCAGTTCTCCCGGTCCTCCCTTCCTGCCTTTCCTCGTTGGCCCGTTTCCCTAAGGGGTCTTGCCATCCTTGCAAAGAGGGAGGCAAAGGCATCATCTGCTGACTCAGAGCCCATGAATTTCCTCCCCTCTCATCAAGGAAGGGCTCATTGGAACCAGGAACATGGAGTGTCCAGGCCCATCCCTGGGCCCCACTCCCCTCTCTGCTCTTCCAGGCTGGGCCCAGAGGCCAGTTTTGGAGTGGACAGTGGCCTGGCTTTCCCCACCCCGGGTGAGGGGAAGTGCAAGGAGGGGTCTTCAGGCCAGAGCCAGGCTGGGGTGGGGGGAGGGGCCATAGGCCTGGGGTTGGAATGAGAAAGGCTTGGAATGTGCTGGTCTGGGCAAGGAAGTGTCCGAGGGCAGGAAAAGGGCAGGAAAGAATGAGCCATGCAAGCAGGAGGCCAGAGGGCAGAGGTTGCTGGAGGCCAGGCAGGCCTTGAGGCCTTGTCTCCCGGTTCCAGCCTCAGCAGGCTCCTGCCGCCTCCTGCCCGTGCCCGCCTGCTGGGCTGGGCTGAGGGAGGCGGCACTGCTCAGGGGCAGGGTTTAGCAGGTGTGGATTCTGTCCTCCGAGGGCCACCTCCAAGGTACGGCTGTCCACCGCGGGAGCTCTAGGGTTCCTGAGGGTCACGGCTCCCGAGGCACCATTGGTCGCCGCTCTGAGGGCTTGGGGTCAGGCTGTGGCTTGGCTGTTGCTGCCTGAGTCCCCGAGTCACCTCAGCCGAAACATTCCAGGCCTGTTTTCAAATGTGAGTCACTTGGGGGCCAACTGTCCTCAGCCTCTTGTTCCTGGGGGTGAGGGTCAGGCCGAGGCAACCCCCAGCCTGGCAGTCCCAGGCCCTGCCCCTGCTGCTTTGAGGAGAGGGTCGGCAGGGCAGACTGACTTCTTCAGGGTCCTCGGGGTGGGGCCCCCACCCAGCCCTGCACCCTCCCTTGATCTGCTTCCTGGGGCCCCGGGCCTTGGACCCCAGGATGGATGGCAGTGGTTGGTGCAGGCCCCCCACCCCGCACCTCACTAAACCTCTTCTACCAACACCTTCCGTCTTACGATGCCCTCCTCTAGTGCCTTCTTTGGGGATTTTCCAGTCATTCTTCCCAGATATTGTATTGAAAATATTAAGCAAACTGTTTAAGCTTCTACTAATCAATAAATGCTTTATTTAAAGCCAGTGGCCTCTGTGTGGTGCTGGCAGGAGGAGACCTGGCTGGAGACTGCGGGCGGGCCTGTCCGTGCGCCCTGGCTTTCTGGGCTCACTGGACCGAGTACCTCTAGCTCAGAGTTCTCATATCCTCCTGTTTTACAGAGGAGGAAACAGGCTCAGAGGGAAGACAGCACGTAGGTGACTGGCCTGCCTTGCAGCTCAGCTTCCTCAGCTAGATCTGGGCAGGGTGGTCTTCCAGCAGGTTTAAGGCCGCTTGGCCGTGAGGCACCCACAGTGAGGTGGGCCTCGGCTCATGCTGGATCCAAACAACGATGCCACATTTTCAGACGCCTGACCACACAGCACCTGCTGTGGGCCTGCACCTCCCAGGACCAGAGCCTGCCAGCAGCTCCAGCATGTGGTGCCGTCATTACCACGTCACCAATGTGTAAACTGAGGTTAGGGGACCCCCCCCCCGCCCCACTACCACACACACCTGGTGGGGACAGGCTGCCTCATCCATGGGTAAAAACGTGTTCCTCCTGGGCAGATGGGAGCGTCACTGTGGCGGATGTTGGTTTCCTTGGTACCAGGTTGCCCACCGTGGCCGGTGGCCGAGGGCTCGTCCACGAGGGCTGGGGTGTGGAACAGCAGGGGCTATGGGGCCACAGACTAGGGGTTCACCTCTGGTCTTGCTGTGGCCTCAGCAAGTCACTAACTCCACCTCAGGCGCCTCGCCTATCAGAGGGGACTCGCCAAAGTCCTTTCTCGCAGGGCAGATGTGCTCTGCAGAGCGGCTCTGCCCATCTCAGGCCTCAGCCTCCCCACCCGACCAAGGGGAGCTCAGCAGGGCGAGTGGTGAGGGGGAAGGAGACGTCGCGGGAAGAGGCCCAGCTCCTGCCTCACACAAGGAGCCTTTGTCCATTTCAGCCCACAGGACTGATGGACGGTCGCAAGAGGTAGGGAAACTGAGGCCCAGGGCTCTTTCTGCCACCCCAGGCCTGTCCCCTATATCCAGTTGGCTCTGGGCATTGCACCTGGGGTGACCATCAGTCTCCATGAGGGCCCCGTCATGTCCAGCATTGAACGGATGGGAAACAGGATGGAAGGCGGCCAGGGTCAGTGGGGGACAGCTAGCGGGAGAGCCCAGGCACCCTGAGCCGGCCTGCCTCCGGCCCAGAGAAAACCCTGCCCGTGGCTCAAAACCATTTGCCAGAAAAGGCACAATAAGCTGCAACTCTACAGCCAGGACAAGGTGCACGCTCCGGGGATTGTGCAACGAACAGCCTGCACGACTCCACACCCAGCACCGCCGTGTCCTAGCTGCAGGTCCTGGGCCTTCAGCCCCTCAGCTGGGCTCTCTGGTCTGGGATAATGACCGCTTGGGCCTGACACGGCACAACCTGCTCCGGCTGACTCCTGTGCCACTTCTCTCTGAGCCGTGTCTCCCCCGTCCCAAGGGGTTTGCATAACTTCACGTTTGGGAATGACTCTGCCTCCTCCCTTTCCTTCTGACCAAGGTGCAGCCCTCCCTGACCCCACCCCAGCCCCTGGACTCTTCCCCTCCATCAGGACCCAGTAATGACTCCGAAGCAGCAGGCCGGAAGTGTGTTTATTGGCAGTCCTGCTTTGGGTCTGCAAAGCTCATTGCCCGCCCTTGAGCCGCATGGGGTGAGGTGGTGCAGATCTGGAGCAGAGGGGCCCGAGCGTTGGGGGGCAGCAGTGAGGGAGGCAAGAAGGGGCTGATGTCGCCTGTGGCACCAGGCCTGCACTGATCGGACAGCCCGTGGTGGCCTGTGGCCTCTCCTCACATCAGGGCCCTCCTGACTCCCACCACCCTGCTGCGTGGGACAGCACTGTCTCTGTTCCCCTGACAAGAACACCCAGGCTCCTGCAGGGACGGGCCTGCCAGAGTCGGCTGGGAAGGGTGGCGCACACTGGCCAGGACACGCAGTCCTGTGCTCAGATGGTGCCACAGCGGCCTCTCCACACCCTCCCTGGTACCAGGAGGGCTCCCCTCTTCTTCCACAGTGTGCAGGTCATCCGCTAGGAACATTCACCTCTGCCTGGCCGGCCCAGCTGCTTGGAGATCGAGGGTGGGGGGCGCCCTCCTGGGCTGTAGGGTAGGGCCCAGGACAGAGGGGCCTTACTCGTCTGGGGAGAGCAGGGGTGAGCTGGAGCCCTGGGCCTGCAAGTGTGGACGTGGGCTGGAGGGCCAGGGGCCCGGCGGGCGCTCAGCTGCTGTGGTAGATCCGGAGGCGCTGGGTGATCTCCTGGCGGCACAGTGGGCAGGTGCGCAGCGGCTGGCAGCACTGCAGGCAGCAGCAGACGTGGCCACAGTTGAGGAAGATCATCTGGGCCTGAGGAGAGAGCAGAGCGTCTGAGCCTCTCGACCACCCAGAAACATGCCACACAGCAGGGGAACGCCTAGCCCTGCCCTCTGCTAGCAGTTTGGCACTCCTTCATGTTTTGTTAAAAATCTATAAATGCCCATAAGCCCCGCCCCTTTCTTTCTAATACGAAACTGGATTATATGCTCCGATGTTTTACTACTTGCCTGCCCGCCTCTCTCGGGTGACAGCTGTGGTGCCCTCTGGATGGAACCAGCCCTGCTGCTGGACGTGAAGGCTGTTCCCCATTTTTGTGTTGTTTTGTGTGCACTTGCCCAGCCCCCAGTCTAAAAGCAATTACAACATCATGGCCTAGAAGCCACGTCTACGCTTTGCTTCAGTGTTTCCTCCTTTTAGGAATTTACCGAAAGGCAACAGTCTAGGGCAGTGATGGTGAACCTATGACACGCGTACTCATTTTTTTGGTTGATTTCTCTTTATTAAATGGCATTTAAATATATAAAATAAATATCAAAAATATAAGTCTTTGTTTTACTATGGTTGCAAATATCAAAAAATTTCTACATTTGACACAGCACCAGAGTTAAGTTAGGGTTTTTCAAAATGCCGAGCTCAAAAGGTTCGCCATCACTGGTCTAAGGTGTGCTCCCAACTCGTTCCAGGCTGCTTAGCTCAGCACTGTTTGTAATAACGAAATTAGAAGCCAACCTATGGGGCCCCAAAGCAGAAATTTGGTTAAATTTATAACCAAGTCCTTCCACATCATGCCTGCCCCGGGTGTGGTGAAGACCGAGGGAAACCAAACGCGCTAACACGGCCGCCTTTTCTAAGTAGGGGCGCACGGTGGAGGGCGGGTGAGTTTTAATTTTATATGCTGTGTTGTACATGGAACCACAAAAGACCCCGAACAGCTGCAGCAATCTTAAGAAAGAAGAATGAAGTAGGAAGGATCACAATACCGATATCAAACTATACTACAAAGCATTATAACCAAAACAGCCCGGTACTGGCACAAGAACAGTCATATAGACCAATGGATCAGAACAGAGACTCCAGAAATTGACCCACACCATTATGGCCAATTAATATTTGACAAAGGAGGCAAGAACATACAATGGAGTAAAGACAGTCTCTTCAACAAATGGTGCTGGGAAAACCAGACGAACACATGCAAAAAAGATGAAACTAAACCACCAACGTACACCATACACAAGAGTAAACTCAAGATGGATGAAACACTTCAAGGTAAGCCATGAAACCAGAAAAATCTTAGAGGAGAACATAGACAGCAAAATCTATATGCAGAGCCCTTGGACACGGGCAATAGGGTATTGAAGACCTGGGGGGGGGGGGGGAGGGGGGGGAAAAGGGGAGAAATCTGAAATACTGCCAACAATAAAAAATATATTTAAAACCTTCTGGGGAAAAGAAAACATAAAAATTTTTATATGCTGTGTTGTTTAGTTTTTACAATAAGAGTGAATGTCGTAATGTTTTTTTAAAAAGACAGTTTTAGAACAGCCTCTTCAGAGAAAATTGTGTTGTTGATATTTAACAACTTGAGAAATTTTCCTTAATGTATTTGTTAAGTAGGGAAAACACCCTCTTTGAAAAAAAAAAAAAAGTCTAGCATTGCTCATATTTGGGTCATGGGATCATGGGTCACTTTTATTTCCTGTATTTTCCACAACTTCTAATGAACACCAGATACTTATATGACTAGAGCAAAGTGTTTAGGAAGACTACACTTGGAGAGGCTCAGATGGCAGCGGGCAGGGGACTGGCTCCAAACTTACCTCCCGTTCCAGGCACACCACACATTCCGAGGTCTGCACCTCCAGCTCCGCGGGGGGAGCCGATGGCCTCGCGGACTCAGGAAGCTCCTCAGGGGCCGTGGGCTCCAGGGCCCCGAGGACCTCATCCGGGGGTGGTTTCAGCAGCTCTGTGGGGACCAGAGAGAGGTGAGCCAGCGCCTCTCCCAATGATCCCAACCCCAAGGGGCTGCCCCCAGCCCTGCCTGCCCCACGTGGACACTGAGCTGGAAGGTGAGGGTGCTCTGACCTCAGAATGGCGGGTGGGGGGGGGCCTTACCACACACCCTCTTACTTCTCTTCTCTGAGTCTCCTGCCCCATCTGGAAAAGGGGAGTGCTGGGACACGGGCAGGGGGGCACGGCACTGGCTAACTGGGGTCTCTTACGCCTAACGTCCCCCGGACCTTTAAGGGCCATCCGGCAAGTAGGGCTCTGTCACTTTCAGAGATGAGACGTGAGCTCAGAGAGGGTGGCCACTTGCCCAAGGCCACAGCGCCACCTGGTGGTGGAGTCGCAGCACAGGCGCCCCTGCTCAGGGGCTCTGGGGTGGAGGAGCCTCCCTCTCAGCTTCACCCAGTGGCCGGGGAGACAGAGGAGCAGGGACAGGAGTGAGAGGTCCCCACGGCTGCTCCCCGCAGGCCCTGGATGGGCCCCAGCGTGCCCACTGCTCTCCCCTGCAGCAGCCGCCAGCCCTGAAGCCAGACATCAGCCTGGGCCCTTCCAGATGCAGTCTTTCTGATCATCACCCAGTGGGCACCACCGACATCCCTGAGTCTGCTTCAGCCCTGATCCCCACCCTGATCTCAGCTCATATGTTTCATTGATTCTGTGGTTTGACTTACAAATAGTATTATTTTATCATTG